CCTATTCGCTATCTGTGTTCCCCACTGTCACAGTCCACAAAGACCAAATGGCCTTCCATTTAGAACCTATCACTCCAATGCCTCTTCCTCCACGATTACCCTCCCATGATTCCAAGCCCACTAGCCTCCCATTTCAAACAGTAAAACAAAAACAACTCATATCTCATTCTCAAACAACCAATTGCCAAACCCATCTCTCTTCTCTAGATGGCCCTGTAAATTCAACCACTTATGCTTCGATTCTCGAAGCTTGCAATCACCCTATTCTCGGAAAACAAGTTCACGCACATGCCCTCAAAATGGGTTTTCATGGGCATGAGTTTGTGGAAACAAAGTTGCTTCAAATGTATGGAAGATGTGGTTGTTTTCAAGATGCAACTCATTTGTTCGACGAAATGCCAATGAGAAACTTATATTCATGGGTGGCAATTCTCAATTTATATGTGGGTCATGGGTTTTTTGAGAAAGCTCTTCTGGTATTTCAAGAATTGTTGTTTGGGGATATTGGGTTGGAATTACAATTCTTTGTGTTTCCTGTGGTGTTGAAAATATGTATTGGTCTTGGTGGGGTGGGATTGGGTAGGCAATTACATGGGTTTTTGATAAAGAATGGGTTTGTTTGTAATATATATGTGGGGAACGCTCTGATAGATATGTATGGTAAATGTGGAAGTCTAGATGCTGCCAAGAAAGTTCTAGAAATGATGCCGGAGAAGGATTGTGTTTCATGGAATTCTTTAGCTACTGCTTGCGCTACCAATGGCAAGGTTTACGAGGCATTGGAGGTTTTGGAGAAAATGTTGGATAAATCAACTCCAAATATTGTTTCTTGGAGTGCTGTTATTGGTGGATTCTCGAAAAATCGGTATGACGACGAAGCGATTGAGATGTTGTCTAAAATGCAAGCTGCGGGATTTGAACCGAATGCTCAAACACTGGCAAGTGTTCTACCTGCTTGTGCAAGATTAGAAAAGCTAAGCTTGGGGAAGGAAATCCATGGCTATATCACAAGGCATGGATTTATGTCTAACCCTATTGTTGTCAACGGATTACTTGATGTTTATAGGAGGTGTGCTGATATGGGAAGTTCTTTCAAGATATTTTCAAAATTTTCGGTGAAAAATGGTGTCTCTTTCAATACAATGATTGTTGGGTACTGTGAGAATGGGGAAATTTCCAAGGCAGAGGAGTTGTTTAATCGAATGGAACTGGAAGGGATCAGGAAAGACATAATATCATGGAATTCAATGATTTCGGGTTATGTAGATAACTTAATGTTCAATGAGGCTTTGAGTTTGTATAAAGAATTGCTAATGACAGAAGGGATTCAAGCTGATTCTTTTACTTTAGGAAGTGTCCTAACCGCTTGTACTGAAATCTTTAAGATTTAGGGAAAAGAGGTGCATTCACATGCTCATTGTTAATTCGAATCCTTTTGTTGGTAGAGAGTTGATCGAGATGTACTGCAAATGTAAAGATGTAAAGGCTGCTCAGATGACTTTCGATGAAGTAACTGAAAAGGATATAGCCACATGGAATGCACTCATCTCAGGCTATGCCCGTTGCAATCAGATTGAACGTATTCCAAATATTCTTGAAAATATGAAGGAAGACGGATTTGATCCGAACATATACACGTGGAATGGAATTGTTTCAGGTCATGTCGAAAATGGCCACTATGAATCAGCAATGCGATTGTTCTCTGAAATGCGGACTTCAAATTTGAGACCCGACATTTATTCCGTTGGAATAATTTTACCTGCATGTTCAAGATTGACAACAATTGAACGAGGGAAGCAAGTTCACGCACATGCAATCAGAAGTGGGTTTGAATCAGATGTCCACATCGGAGCAGCCCTTGTGGACATGTATGCAAAATGTGGAAACATAAAACATGCATTGATGGCTTGTAATAGGATTGACAACCCTAATTTGATTAGCCAAAACGCCATGCTTTCTGCATATGCCATGTACGGACATGGAGAGGAAGGAATTGGTCTCTTCTGTAGAATGCTGCTAGACGGTTTCAAACCAGACAGCATAACTTTCTTGTTGGTTCTTTCTTCATGTGTTCATGCAGGATCGGTTGAGAGGGGACGTGAATTCTTCAACTTGATGGGCTATTATAACATGAATCCGACATTAAAACACTACACATGTATGGTAGACCTTCTTAGCCGTGCAGGACACCTTCAAGAAGCATACACCATTGTGAAGGAAATGCCTATGGACCCTGATAATGTGATTTGGGGTGCATTGCTCGGGGGTTGTGTGATTCACAGTAATGTTGGTTTAGGAAAAATTGCAGCGGAGAAGCTCATAAAATTGGAACCACAAAACACGGGGAATTATGTTATGTTGGCAAACTTATATGCTTCTGTAGGGAGATGGAGCGATGTAGCTAGAACGAGACAGTTGATTAAGGAGAAAGAAATGCAGAAGAATCCAGGATGTAGTTGGATTGAAGATAGAAATCAAATTCATGTTTTTGTTGCGTGTGACACATCTCATCAGAGAACAGAGGAGATTTATGCTACTCTAGATCATTTGACAGTTCATATAAGAACAGCAGTTAGAACAAGTATGTAAAAACTATACATCATTATCATAAGATCTCTGTTATATTTGTACAAATTTACATGAGAAATACAATATTACTGGTCTAGATTTATGAAACATTCTTTCTTAAAGCCGGCTATATATCTGCGTGTATTGTTACCATTGAAGGTCTTTCCTTCCCATATTATCATTAAAGCAGTAAAAAAGATTCTTCATCTATATTTTTTATTGATGAATAAATAAGTCCCTAATATATCAACTTTAATACAAATTTTTTAATTTGACAAACTTAACTGGAATAAATTTGTCATTTATTGCCTTAACTCCAATAATGTGTTGTTCTTTACATTCCAATTTTTGTGGTGGATGCGGTGGCGAGGTGGTGGAGAGATGGTAGGTGGGGTAAGTGTATTAAGAAAAAATAAAAATTGTAAATTTGTGAAGTGAATGAACTTGAAATATGGTAGAATCGAAGTGTGTCTGTTTCCTTATAAATAATAAAGGGGAAATATCACATAAGTGGATTTTTGAGAAAATAATTACAAATCAGCAAAAAACTTTATCTGTTCAATTTTTTAACCTACCTATCCAAATTATTTAACCTATCTTTATCAATATTTTTTAACATATTTGTTCAGTTTTTTTAGCCTATCTATCCATATTATTTTAACCTATCTTTCTCAATATTTTTAACATACCTGTCCAAATTATTTGAACTTAACTATATTAATCTGTCCAAACCAAATTATTTTAACATATGTGTTCGAATATTTTTAACTAATATGTTCAAATTATTTTAACCTATGTATGCTGATATTTTTATACTTTTAATCTATCTGTCTAATATTTTTATACTTTTAATCTACTTGTCCAAATTATTTTAATATTTTTAATCTATCTATCCAAATCATTTTAATCTTTTTGTACTAATATTTTTTCGTATCAATCTTAGTATTTTTTTCCCCTATCTTTCCTAGTTTTTGTTGCTTATCTATCCAAATTGAATATATATGTCCTAGTATTTTTGCTTATTTGTCCAAATTATTTTAACTTATCTATCTCATAATTTGGATAGATAGACATGTCAATTTGAACAGGTGGTACGTAATATTAATTTTGAATTTGTCCCATCATTTGGACAGATAGACATGTCAATTTGAACAGATGGCACGTAGTATTAATTTTGAATTTGTCCCATAATTTGGACAAATATAAATGCATGGGTCTATGGCTTTTTAATTTTGAATGATGAGTATGTGGTTGTCTTTATGGACCCTAATGTGGTTGTCCTTATGGACCCAAAACAAAAGCCGTGTGGATCTATGGCCTTTTAAGTCTATAAAATGGATTTATGGACTGAGACCCTTTATAATAAGAAAAATTATAAACTTTTTTCATGAATATGTATTTTTTTCTTGACATCAACTAGGGTGTAATTACCCCAATAATAAATTGTTAATTGATTTAATAAAATAGTTCATTTGTTATGTGATTAAAAAATTAAAGGGACACAATATCGTTTTCAATAGGCATGAAGTAATTCTTATTTTAAGCAAACTTTATGAGATATATTTGTAATTTACCTAAAACTAAAACTTAAATCTTGTCTATCTATTGTTGGCCCGTGAGAGGCAGTTAACAAACCGTCTATTATCCGTGCCAAAGAGCTCGTGTGGCCCAAGCTCATTAGGCAATTTGAACCTAAATTTTTTACTAGGGATGAGTAAGGAAATTGAAAAATCTGCAAACCGAATTGTTCTAAACCCATTCGATAGATTTGGTTTTATTTTTTTAATTCGTGGTTTGGTCCTAGTTTGAAAAATTAGAGAACCTATCTCCGTGGATTAGTTTCGAATTTATGTCCATGATTCTGGATTTGAATCGAACCAAACCATATAATCTAATCCATATATGTTTATTTGCTAGATATTATGTTTATTTAAGTTAATGGTGGAGCAACGTGCACGGTTATATTTTGAAAATTTATGTTTCAAAAAATCATGTTAGATTAATATTGAATAATATTTGCTTAATATTATGTTTTTGCTTAACTGGTGAATAGTATGAGAGTAATTTATTTGATAAGACATTTTATTATTGTTTTTAAAATTTATAATAGGTTGATTTTTTTTTAAATCTAATACGATTTTTCTTGTTAATAGATTATGTAAAATCACGATTCCAAACTGAATTGAACCGTATTTAAATGATTTGGTTCGAATCGTATCCATGATTTTAATGGTTTAGTTTAATAGATAATAGATTAGTTCTGATTTCATCCTAAATCGATCCAAAGAGGACCATGTTCACCACTAATTTTAACCCATGAGCGCGCCAAACCAAAACATCAAAAAAATGATGCTGGGCCCATGAGCGGTCATGGTCTCCACTTTTCGGCCCGCCCAATAATGATGCTTATAAGGCACCGATCGACCTTTTTGCGTCGTCTGCTTTTGCTTTTGCTTTTGCTTGCTTAGCGAAAGGGCTACTTGCCTCCTCAAAGAATCGCAACTAGCTTGTCTCCACCTGTTCATGCTCTCTCTCTCTCTCTCGGAAATGGCGGATTCTTACCGGAGGTTAGACGACAGGAGGCCAACTCTTCCTTCTCTCTTCTCGAAACGCCCTCGCTCCGATTTCGGTATTATCTCAATCTCTCTCTCTCTCTCTCTCTCTCTCTCTCTCTCTATATATATATATATATGTCTATCTGTCTGTCTGTCTATCTATCTATCTATCTATCTATATGTGTGTGTGTGTGTGTGTGTTTGCGTTGGCGGAGGAGCTAGGGTTTCGGCTTCGCGAGATAGATGTTTTGATTTTTTTTTTTTTTCCTCGTCATGTTATGGTGATATGTGATTAATTCTCCGTTTGTTTGCCCAGAAAAAAATGTAAATGTGTTAGAAGTCTCCGATCTTTGATTATCCTTTGTTTGAGGTTGCGAATTACGAAAGAAAATAGTTCGACTTATAACTGTGATTTGATTCAACTGTTTGACCTAGCGAAGGTGAGCAGTGAGCTTTCCATTTATTTATATCCAAATCAGTATAAATATTCAGATTTTGATTCAGATGTTGTTGGATTGATGCCTATCTCCATATTATATATACAGATACACACATACATATCTGGTTCAAATTTGTTAGGATAGGTTGGTTATTTTTAATGATCAAGTCATCCGGAGTCAGTAATCGTAGGATTTTTGGGGTTAGTAGGTTTGTTGTCCTAGATCTGCCTGCAAAATATAGAAGTGAGTTTAGCGTGGTTGAGCTCATCATTTGAGAGTATCGTTTCAGCAAGTGATGCATTGATTCCGGTGCCAAGCAAGATATATGCCTTGTTCCGAATCCATGCACGTTGCCGTTTTTATCTCTCTCACCTTTATGCGCCAACGCATTTATTGAACTTTACTTATATGCTTTCAAGTTTTTTTTTCTTCACTAGTGGTAATGGTCCTTTGTCCTGATTTATTGGGGGCTGAGGTGGCGGCACTCATAACCAACAGTAATTGAATACCCTTAGTTTTTTTTTTTCCTTTTCTTTTCTTTGTATATATATAGTAATATATATTAATCAGCCAATTTTTCATTATTTGAACACCAACATTTATAAATTCAACTTTACTACAATCATACTTATTTACACTTCCAAACACATCCATAGAGAGAGTATTTTGAACACTTATATTTATAAATTTATAAATTCAACTTTGCTACAATCACACCCATTAACACTACCAAATACACACCCATAGAGATAGTCAGTACGACCATATCACTCTCTCTTTGGGTGTGTGCCTATCTTTTCTATTATAAATTTGAATACTAATCTCACAAATTGTGAATACGTAAAACTTGCCCATTCCTAAATTTGCACACTCACCTTATAAACCACTCATAAAAAAATTGTTAGATTATATTCTTATATTAAATATATAAATTATCTACACGCTCCCATAGGTGCTTCAAACCTTAAAAACTTCTATTTTGGCTCTTCCGTCCCCACTTCATGCAACTGGAATTAATTACATTTCCAATTGCACACACACTTGGTAATCACAATTTTCATTCTATGGATTAATTACATATTCAGAATATATATATATATATATATATATGGGAATTAATTATAGCTCTTCTGTTCACATAAATTTCTAACTTTCAACATAATCTCTAATTTAATTACATTTCCAATTGTACATATATATATGTACACACATACATATACATACATAGGCACTGTTAATCACCATTTTTATTCCATAGATTACAAATCTATGAATATAGATATAGATCTAGGAATAAATAACAGTTCTTTACACAAATTTGTAACTTTCTAACACGATTTTTAATTTAATTACATTTCCAATTATACATTTATGTATTTTCATATATACATACTAATACATATATACACAATGTTAATCACCGTTTCCATTTAGTGAATTGCAGATCTATAGATATAGATATAGATATAGATATAGATCTCGAAATGAATTATAGGTCTATACATATAGTTTACATAATTATACATTTAGATTATAGCTCCTCAACTTCTTCCCCAACTTCCCATAATTATATACTTCTTTACAAGCTCTACTTCATCTCAAGTGCCTTCTTCTTCTTTGTTTCCTTGGCAAACACCGACGCTGGAAGCTTATCAGTCCCTCCAATCACAATAGGTTGCTTTTGAAACTCTCTTTGAACTTCAAAAACGTCATTGGATCAGGGAGGAGGGAGGTTGAGGGACGAGGAAAGAGGTCGAAGGTGGTAGGGGAGGTTGGAAAGGATGGAGGGGGGATGAGGGTGGGGGTTGTCTTTTTCGCTTTATAACTTTGAATTTGACTAAATTTTTTCCTTTCCCACTACCAAATTTGGCAAGTAAATCATGTGTTTTGTTAGTTTGGATGAAAAATGTAACCGTAGCACATTAGGTTAAAACCACATAGGGGGGTATTTGGTTATTTTTGAAACACAAGGAGGCAAAGTGCTTTGGGGTAATACCACAAGGGTAAAGTGTTTTCCCCTCTTTATTTACCCTTTTTTATTTTTTTTATTTTATAGCAATTTCAGCATCTCAATTAGGAGTGACATGGTAGTTCCTAGCTATTAGTACTTGGGGGTTGTGGGGGAGATGGGGGATGTGGGAGAGGTTGGGAAGGTGGTGGTGGGAGGGGTGAAAATGTAACCATAGCACTTCAGGTGAAAAGCACTTAGGGGGGTATTTCGCTATTTTTGAAACACAAGGAGGCAAAGTGCTTTTTGGGGTAATACCACAAGGGGTAAGGTGAATATTTCCCTCTTTATTCATCTTTTTTTAATAGCAATTTCAGCATCTCGATTAAGAGTAACATGGTAGTTCCTGGCTTTTAATACTTCGTTGTTTGTGATATCTATGAGATATATTTGGGTATTCTTAAATTGTGAAAACTTTTGTGTTTATTTGTTTTTTAAAAATTAGTGCAATTAGGAAAAGTATTTAGCAATGCCTCCCAGTTTCTAATGGTGATCCTTTGCTTTGTAGGATTTTAATTTATCTATCTTGTTGCTCTTTTCTTTTTTTCTATTTCTTTCCTCAAACACCCCCTCCCCAAATCGCAACTACATGGACCACTGAAGAAGCACGGTCACTTCTAGGGAGGAAGTGTGTCGTGTCCGACATCCGTGTTAGACACCGACACTCTTTAGATATTTCTAAAAGCGTGTCTGACACTTCTTTAACGTGTCTTAATTAAAAAATCATATTTATGTTATTGGACACTTTATCGACACTTTGCGAACACTTCGATGACACTTCTTGAATCCTCCGAACATGTCCTATGTGAAGAATCACTTCATTATTACAATGGTTTGCATTTTTCAAAACGCAACTTATGCCCTTTAAATATGTTTTGAAACATTTATAAGATGAATACATCATGTGTATTATAATGTTTTGTAATTTTTTTATTCTTTAGAATGTAATTCTTGTGTGGATGATATATTGATGTTTCTATTATGAAAAATATGTAACTTTTTAAATAAGTTTAGTGTGATATTCATCTTGTATGGTTTCGCAAAATTTAGGCCCCTTTTTAGAAACTGATGGTTTGTTTGGTTTGTTTTTAAGAGAATTGTTTTTGAAAAAAATTTCCAAAATTTTGTTTGGTTTGTGATTTTTCTCAAAAAAATTCCAAAATCACTTTCTCTCTCTTATACATCAATCAATCACTTTTTCTCTCTTCTTTCTCCTTCTCAATCACTTTTTCTCTGACACACATCTACTCAATTATAACAAATATCAAAGCATCCCAAACTCCAAAACTCTAAAACTACTTTCAAAATATACAACCAAACAAATCAAAAAAAATTTCTAAACTCTCTCTTCAATTTTTTTTTTGAAAATTATTCTCTCAAAAGCAAACCAAACACACCTTGAGTTTTTTTTTTTTTTTTCGTTTTTTGTTTTGGTGAAAAATTTTAGGTGTGTTTGGTTTGTGTTTGTAGAGTAGTTTTTGAGATAAAAAGTACGAAAGCTTGTTTGGTTTGCCTTTTTTCAGAAATAGTTTGGAAAATTGTTTTTGGGAGAGAGTTTTAAAAAAAAGTGATTGATTTGATGTATAGAGAGAGAGAGTGATTTTAGAAAATAGGTAACCAAACAAAATTTTGAGATTTTTTTTGAAAAAAATTGTTTAGTTTGATTACTCTTGAAAATTTGTTTGTAGAGAATTTCTCAAAAAAATTTCAGAAAAACAAACCAAACAAGCCCTTTACTTTTTTAAGAATTTTTTTATTTTTTATTTTTAAGATGCAACTAACCTAGATACACTTGAAAAGTGTAATATTTATAGCAAAAATTCATCAAATATAGAAAATATACAAAAATTCGGTAAATTTTTGTATTTCTGTGTATTTATTGAATTTTAAAATATTTCTTCACAAATATTTTACTTTTTAGGGGCATCTAAGTTATGCACATCTTGAAATGTACTTAAAATATTAAAAAAATTCATTAAAAACAAAAAAAAAAACAAAAAATTCAATTTTTAAAAAATCAATCAAAAACAAACAAGGTGATTACTTTTTTCTCTTTTTTTTAAAAAATTTTTTTGAATAAATTTTTCATATATGAGATATAATAAACTTTTAAATATATTAAATTTTAACGTGTCCTAAACATATTGTATCCTGCATCTTTTCAAAATTAACGTGTCGACGTGTCCATATCGTGTCAATGTCGTGCCAATGTCGTGCTGTGTCAGTGTCTGTGTTGCTTAGGGCACCACCCTCCTTCCCATATAATTTTTGAAATTTTGTTGCTTAAAATTGTAGATGTTTCCAGTGGTCGTGATTTGCCTAGCTATTTTGGTCGTGATGATGAAGGAGCAGCAAACCGTTTTATTGGAGATTCCGACTCCGTTGGAGCATCCTATGATCGTTACACGCGCAGTGCGGTATATATTATTTATTTATATTTTAAATTGGGTGCCAATATTGTGACTTTTTATGTAATTGTATATGTAGATCTAACACTAGGTGTAATATCTCAGCAAATTTCATTGTATGGTGGGGGAGGTTCTGCTAGACCTTTGAGTGGTGGACTAAGTGGTCACCCTATTGATGACCCACGAATGATTGGAATTGGGGGATCAAACCCAGTGGTGACCACAAAAGGCCATTCTATGGGATTGGGAGGTGGCAGGCCACTTCCTCCTGATGCTAGCAGTACTCTGTTTGTGGAAGGTTTGCCTGCCAACTGTACACGTAGGGAAGCTTCTCGTATCCTTTCGTAAAACATTAATTTTTTCTTATTTTATTGCTTTGCTTTACATTTTTAGCTTGTACCTTTGTTCCTTAACTTGGGTTGTAGATATCTTTCGCCCTTTCGTAGGATACAAAGAAGTGAGATTGGTGACCAAGGAACCAAGACGTGTAAGTTTTCCTTTTTAATCTCTTTCATAATCATTTTTTAAAAAACTTTTGTGCTGATCAATAAATTCTCTTTCTGTGGTTCTTGCAGTCTGGGGATGATCCACTGGTACTTTGTTTTGTTGATTTTGTGAGTCCAGCCCATGCTGCCACCGCTATGGATGCTTTGCAAGGTAAGCTTTACTTGCACATCCCTTTCACATATAAGTAGTTTTGGCAATATCTGTTGCAGTGTCACTTCCTGTTGCAAATTTTGAACTCTTTAGTATATCGCTTCTTTTGCTACATTTGATGCATCCCATGCTACATTTTTATGGTTCAGTTCATACTTCCAGTGAGATCTTGTATGTTCTTTATAGTGATCTGAATAGGGAATGACTGTCTTTCACCGAACTGTGGTGGTGATGTGTTTATTTTTTTATATGCATACAGATAATTGTTAAAATTAAACTGTGGTGGCTTGAAATTCTAAGTAGCATGGATACTTCTAAGAATGTGACATTTCTGTGTCAGGCGCCAACACTCCTCGAACACTCTAGAACACGTGTCCGGTACTATTTTTTCCACGTGCATAATTAAAACTAAAATTTTAATTTTAGACACATCCGAAACTCATTTTGAGACGTGATCGTTAAAAAATAAATGAGAATAACACTGGTTAGAAATTTGCTAATGTATGATTTTCTACGTTCAAGAATTTGATATAATTATCTTATACCCTTAAAACATGTATAATTATTAAGAATAATCCTATAGAAGTTTCACATAAAATTAAATGAAAAATGGAAACTATATGTAAATGTATTAGCAAATGGCTAAGGAGGATGAGGGAAATGTCACAATTATATATGTTTGCTATAATTTGTCTGATTTTTAACTACTTTGGTTCAATAGTCTAAAATTTCATGTAAGAGAATTAGATACAAAATTTACTTAATGTAAAGTAATTATCTAATTTTGCATATATTATGGACATATATAACTATGTAATATATTTTTAGATAATATAATATTTGTGCCATGTTTGAACTGTGTCGATGTCCTACTTTTTTGGAATTTGTTGTGTTGACATGTATGTGTCTTATTGTGTCGTGTCCATGTCATGTGTGTACGCTTCATAGCTAGATTTTATACATTCCAGTATGCAATGTATGGCATACATAATACCTAGAGAGAAAAAAAGAGAAAAGGGAAGCATAGTGCACAAGGCTCCCTCCATTGTGGAGTAGGGGTGAAGGCAGTGTGATTCGGTCTAGTCTATAGCGAAACACTCTCACTGACCCAGATCGGGCTGGTGGTGGTATAACAAAACATTCATGCTGAACTGGATCTATCAGTTCTATTAAAACAAGCACCGTCGCTGACTATACCAATAACAACCGAGCTGAACTGATATGTACCAATACGGTTTTGTTTGTTCAGTTCCATCAGTTGGAAAATTCGGAATAAGAGAGAGAGAGAATTCATTTTCCAGCCACAACTACGTACAAACACACAATACGTATATACATACACATGTATAGAGAAAAACCAACCACAAATGAAAATATGAAAATGAGGCGTACAACTTACTTTTCCAGATCTCTAAAAGAAAAATCCAAATAGTTATGAAAGATTTTCCGAGTCCAGAATCATTGAGGTGATAGATCTTCTGTTGGATCTTGCCATAGAAACCAGTAAGTCAATGAATGTTGGTGGAGTTATCTCTTTTGCTCGTTTCTTCATGCTTGGCGACACTAGAAGCCACGGATTCCCCACAATCCAGTCGACCACTGTGGAAGCAACAACTTAGGCTTCAAAACATATGCTCAGATTATACACTCATTGGCTTGTGATGGTCTGTAGCATAAGGGGGATAGAGTGAAAAGAGAAGGTAGTGGAGAGTGGGGAGGGAGTCGTGAAACAGGGGAAAGAGATGATAGCAAATAGAGAAAAAAAATGAGAAGAAAGAGCAGAGAAAGAAAAGTGATGAATAAAATGTGGGGAAAAGAATAACAGGCGGATAGAAATTAAGAAGAAATAGTACAGAGAGAGAAGAGAGAAGAGAATTGAAGTGGACAGACGATGAAAGAAAAGCAAGGGATTTGAGAGGTGTAATGGATGAACAGAGATAAAGAGGGTTTTGTTTTCATTGGAGAATATGACTGAAATGAATGGATGAAGTAAGAGGGACGAGGGGTTTATTTTTACTAGAAAGCAAGATTATTATGTATAAAATGTGGGTTTCGCGGAAAGTGCTAAAGGGAGTTATAATTATAACATATATACAGAGGGATATGGGTGTTTGGCTTGATCGATATTAGTTCCAACTTTTGGAAACCAAAAATAATTGAAAATCGAGTTTTTGTTCATAAAAAAACCGAGCAAATTAGGAGTAATAAAAAACCAACCAAAACCAATTGGTTAGGTCAGTTTCGGGCAGTCCAATCGGTGTGACCTGCTTTTCTTTCACCCCTAGTTTGAAGTATGGGGAGAGTTAGATGTGCGCAACCTTTCACCTGCTTGCTGAGAAGCTGTTTTTTTGTTTGATGTTGTGCTAAGGTCATAATACCTAGAGAGAAATCCATGCAAAATCGAGAACCATATTAATCAGCTCCTAGGGATCTCAAAGTTCCTTTTGGGCATGACTTATTTGAGCTGAAAAAGAAAATCAGTCAGCTCCTTGATTATTGTTTTTGTTTTCTGCAGCACATTACCTCATTTCTTTTATTAAAATCAAATTGGTTAATAATCATATTTTCTAATCAGTTTTAACAATATAATGAACTAAAATAGAAAGCAAATAAATTTACTGGGACAGTATAATTTTTTTCATCCAGTGCTGTTAAGAATAAAGAACCGTAGATTTTCACATGTTGAAAGTCCCAAAGCTTATGATATCTTCCCAAATAAAAAATCCAAATTATGAAGAACTCCCAAAACTCTTCAATCTAATATTGGTGGCCCTAATCGTTCTAGTTGATGTGAAAAACTCAATGCTGAGAGCTAGGATAATGCGTGCCTTGTCTGTGCACGTGCTATAGGCCTGGATTGCTGAAGGAGGCTTCTCAGATCACTTGTCAGACCTGCGGTGCTGTTTTGTGTCTAATAAAACAACAATGCTGTTAATAAATCATATGGTTAGCGACACCTTGCCCTATTGTCCCTGCCAAGAACACTCTACCTTACTGCATGTGGTTTTTATCCATTGAACTCTGACAACAAAAATCCTGGCTGTACTTACCCACCACCATCGTCTTTTTTTCCTTTTGCTCGTACGGCCATATCCTTGTGCCTAACAGGATAATAAGTGGTGGACCTGCAATTGCAACCTTATTCCATGTTTGTTTGGGCGGACATGGACCTTGGATTGGATTAATAATCCAACAAAATGTATAATTCGATCCAATGTATGGCTAAGAAAATTGGGGTCTGGCTTAAGAGTCCTTCCGGACATAGTAACCCCCATATGTGTGACTATTGAATCCCAAGAGGGGTGAGATACAAAATGGAGGACTAAGTAGAGGTTTAGACTAATTAAATTTCAAAATTGATAAGATTTTGTCAATTCCTTTTCAAAATGCTGAGCCAATCTAAACATGAGATAGGATACACAATCCAGTTCGTCTAAACAAACATGACCTTAGAGTACTGGGAAGTGATGATGAACGTTTCATGCGAGTGAGTTTTTGTATTTGGTTTGAAGTGATACTTGTTCGTCTAATTGTCCTCTATATGATGATGTCCATAATCGTGGTTCAATTGCGTGGTTAGTTGCATGGCGTGAAATAGTCAAACTCAATTTTGCAGGTTATAAATTCGATGAGCATGACCGTGACTCGGTCAGTTTACAGCTGCAGTTTGCTCGCTACCCTGGTGCAAGGTCAGGTGGCGGGCATCGTGGCAAGCGTTGAATTATGCGGTTGTACAGGTGACAAATCCTATCCCCCATGCGTTCGACTCTTTGCTATAATGGCCATCAGGTTCTATTAAAGGAAGTATATTTTGGAATGACGAATCACACTAAATTGTGAAACCCGGCATTTGTGTAGGACCCACTTGAGTCTGCGAGTTTTGTGATAGCGAGAGATTAATCAACGGCTTTGGAGTTTCAAGAATTTGCATTTCCCTGAGTTGGCGCATTCGTTAGGACAAGCTTGTACCGAGTGGGATTTTAATTATTGAGGGTCGATTGCTCAAGTTATAAGGCATCTTATCTTTTTTATTTTTTTTTTAATTTCTGTTGAATACAGTTTCAGTAGATTCTGGTAGTTTTTATATTTTATATTTAGAGTCGCAACAAAAGATTGCTTATGTCTTTTTTATGTACTTTGATCAGGATTTCATATTTGGATTTATATATATATAATTAGTAATGAACAATGGTGGCTGTGAGATAGGCACTGTAGCATTTTACTTCTTATTTGTCTTGCTTGTTTCCAAAGATTTATTTTTATTTATTTATTTATAGTTCTACACAAAAAACTGTCCCTTTTTGACCTTTATTTAATTTTGATTTTCTATGCAACAAAAATATTTGGTTAGTGGTCAAGGTTCCCACCTTCAAATGTTTTGTTTTTGCTGTGCAAAATTCAAACATTTTGGTTTTTTTAAGTATTTTTCCCTTTTGTTTTCATCTCCAATCTATCAAAATGAAGGCGTAAAAAGTTGTTGCAAGATTTACTTTGCATTGGATATAGTCACCGTTCTCTTGGCAAACAGCAGTAATGGGTTTCATGAGAATTAAACAGCGAACAATTCTGATGCATTCGATTACCTTAATTGCTGTTGGAACTGAGGACTTTTTATTAGGTGGATGGATGAACAACATGGTGGGCGTAGCATGAGTCATCGTTCTGGAATTCTGTGTCTCGAGAATAGTTACTTTTTTTCTTTTCTTTTTTTAAATGAAGTGCCCCATGAGTTCTTTTTGGGGAGTGAAAATCATGACTATGCAGATGCACCTCAAGGGGTTTAGCTCAGTTGAAGCAGCGTTACGATGGTAAGAGGTCCTAATCTCAAGTAGTGTTGTGTTTAATGCTCTTAAATTATGGAAGGAAACTAATAACTGTGATTGGCTTTGTTAAAGATGTGGGAAAGCTTTGCCTATGACCTGAACCACTTGGGCTGTAACATTCAATGTTCTTATTTTAACCTCGAAAGGGTTAAAATGTGTACTTGTCCCATTATAGTTTTAATCGATCGTTTAAACCTGTCATATTAGCGCTAGAGGATTTGGATGTGCTAACTAGTGGATCTTTGCTGTTGATGAATGAAGAAAAGCAGCTTGATTTGTGAATTTGATTTATCCAGTTGTTGCTTCTTTACGGAGGTATGCATGTTCGTAGAAGTCTACATTGATCTGAAGAATGATTGCAATCAACTATTGAAAAGTTTCGCGATGAGGGCATTATTCTGAAAAAGACCATTGTGAGGACTTAATTTTTGGTGTCCCCATGTTTTGACTGCAACATGGTCTTGTTTCCGTATGCTAAAATTATCCGCGTTACAATCCGCTCTGCCTGACCCATCTTGAAAATGCCATTGCAGTAGGTCAAGGGTTGGATGGATGTAAACTCATAAGCTATTGAGGGTAGGGATGATTGTCCAATTCCTATTGTGAAAGAAAAAGGCCATCCTGTCACAGCAAGCAGGTTGCTTCCTCTGTCGTTGGAACTATGAGGACTTGCTGTAACCTGGGAGATATTAGGGTGACACAACAATAGTGGTTCAGCCTGGTGAACAAGAAAAAAAAGAAAGAAATAAATAAAAACGGTCACTGGACAGCGTTGTGTTTTCGTTGCCTTTCCATATTTGTCAATCAAAACTTTTTAGGGGTTGCTGTCGATACCGCTTTGTGTTTTCTGTTAGAAAGAGGAAGACAGTAAATTTGCTTGGAAAATAATATATATATATGTGTGTGTGTGTTGTATATGTGTTGGTCATTTTTTTTCCAAATAGTTTTGCGATATTTCTCAAGGAATGTAAAATAATGAATTTGGGGTCACCATTGTTTTGTCCAGTAAGTGCAAATTAAAAAGAAAAAATATGATCTCTGGTTGGTTCTTAGATTGCCAAGAAACACTATTGAGAGCCTATCTTATTTTAAGTAATTGATAATACCAGTCAGTCTCAGATTTCGAGTCTCATATATTGCTTATCAACACAGACCAAACAACATTTATATTTCTTTAAATTTAGACATGTAGGTGTCAGTTGCTTTTCTCTCCAACTCATTACATATTGAGAACAAAATGCTTTGAAATTTCGTGACTTCTAATCAATCAAACTATTTGGTATGTTTTTGTCATGGGGGGAATTCGTGAACTCCCAGGTCTCTCTCTCTCTCCAATCTAATCCTTTGTACCCATTTGTTTGTTTGGGGATTACATTAGTATTCTTTGGACCTTATGTTGACCCATGATTGTTTGAGGAAAATTAGTGTGAGATTAGCAATCCCTCCAATGGTAAGACTAGCATTCTCATCGGGGGTTGTGATTACTAATCCAATCTCATAGATTGGTGGTTGAAAAACTGTTTTGCCTCTTACTTCATAAAATCATCAAAGTCACCTTATATCTGATGAGAGCTTTTATGTAAGTTCATAGATTAACTTACTAATACCATTATACCGCTACACGAGTGTATGAATAAATAAAATTTATTTTACATCTCCATCCCAATACTACTATACTAAGAATCTCATCAATCAATTCCACCGCAACAAAGTTATCTTATATCTAATAAGAGCTTTTATGTAAATTCATAGATTTAGTCTCAACTAACTAATACCACTACACGAGTGTACGAATAAATACAGTTTATTTTACATCTCCAAACTAGTACTACTATGCTAATAATCTCATCACTCAGTTTTACTGTAATTATAAACTCATCCAATTTAATTTGTAAAACATCCGCCAAACAAACAGGGAGACTAGAGTGTATTTGATTGAACTCCAGTTAAATGGTTGGAAAGGAATTTGTGGACAAAAAAAACAAAGGAGGGAATAGTATGTTAAATAGAAGTTTTTTTTTTTTGGGTTTGTGTGAAATAGTATATGAAATCGGATAGGATACACAATCCTTAGGAGTAACATAGCAGTACTAGGATTTCAAATGCAATTATCCTAAGCAGTTTGGTTTCAGATGTTCTCTCTGTCTTGTTGATAATCTTCTTATTGGTTTACTAGCCATAGGTGGGTAAGTAACGAGCAGTTTTTGAAGTTGACAGAACTTGAGAAAATTTTGAAATTCTCTGAAATAATAATATAATTGCCTTTTGTCTGGCCAAAACATGTTTATATATATAGATGATGTACAATGGTGGCTTTTTTGTCTTTTGTAGCTGCATAAATCAGACTAGCTCATTATCATGAATGATTATAGCTACGTATGGTTAATTACATCAAGACTCCTCAACTATTAATGAATATTACCTTTGCTCCCTTATTTATCAATTTATCAATTTATCAATCCGTACATATTGAACACCTCAATTTTGAAAACTATACAAATACATTTCCTTTGTAGGTGGCTTAGAGAGTTGAAAGTGATATTTTTTTTTAGTTGAGGAAGTCAAGATGTACGTTGATAAATGAGGGAGGTAAAATGATATTCACTGAAAGTTGAGGGGGTCTCGGTGTAACTAACCCTTACCCCGGAAAGATTGAGACTTCTAAAAAGTTTCTCCAAATTTATCCACAATGACATGACATGTTATGTTTCAACTTTTAATTTGTCTCAAATTTTAACCAGGCCTAACTCTCATGCAATATCATTAAAGGTGAATTATAAATTTTAAATTATGAGTCTCCAACATTAAGGGTAATTTGGTTCAAGTCTCATTATTCAGGCATCCATGTCTTGACAATTATTTATTTTCCAATTTCATTGTTTTTGCGTAGTTTCACTATCCAAGTTTGTAAGGCATGTATGTAACTGTTGCAGAGCAGAGCTCGACATGAGGACCCAGTTATTCCTCAACCTTCATCAGTGGCTTATGGGGGAAAAAACAAATATAATTTTCCAATAATTTTTTTGCGACACTCATTTCATGTCAAATGGTTCAGTGTGTGATATGTAGAACATCGTTGATTCTGAATCTCATCTTGATGACAATGGCTAGAATGCTTATGGGAAATATGGTTTCTCTACGTATGAGCACCTTCTTTGTCATGGATATATATGGTGATTGATTTGACTTTCAGCAAGTGCATATCAACGGAATGGAAGGTAAACAAACCCATTTTTGGACATTTTAGACAAATTTTTTCTCTCTTGAAATTCTTTTACTTTTATGCCAAGATTCCAACCTAGAATAGAACAATGTTTATACCGAAAGCTAAAACTGATTGCATTTCAGGTGGTGCTTTCTGCAAACATTTCACACTTGTGTCAGTAATTGTATACGAGTCAACTGCGTGGTGGCTGATAGGAACCATCACCAACCATCATGATACCTCATTGCTGCCCAGCCTAACAGTGAGTGGGCAGGCCCTGTGGACCATGTTTTCTATGATGCCTCTGTTCATGGCATGTCCTTTCTGGTGGTCTTAATGCCGGAACAGCCATCGTGTTGGTGTTGATATTCATGGCCCTTCAATGGTGCAGTGGCAGTCCAGATCGGTAACCCATTGGCATCTTCTCAGAAAATGACTAAGGAATATCAGTTGATCAACTGTCCAGTTATTTTTTCAGGCTGTTTAGAAAATTGTCTTTCGTAAATATTTTAATTTTATTTTTAAAAAAAATAATTGCACTCAGACAGACTGGTGTTATTCATATCCTAAGGTTGAAAGATGGTATTTGGTTCATGGATTTTGATAGGGATTTGGAAAGAGAAGAAAAAAATTGGTGAGATGTGAATGAAATATTTCATTTTTTCCTTTTTATTTTCAAAATTTCTATTTAAATTCATGATTCAAACATAGGCCTCGTTTGAGAATAAGTTATTTTAGTAATTTTTTGACTTTTTATAAAAAAATGTACAGAAAAGTAGAGAGAGTGATGTAACAATTTATAGTGATTTTTTGACTAAAATGTATAGTTTGACAAACAAGGCCTAAATAGAGGACATATTTTGATGAAATTTTCAGAGGGCTTTCCGGACCCTTCCTCAATAATTTGCATTCTAAATGTTCTTTCTGGTCTACAAGGGCATATATCAGACCTTGCTCTTTTTTGAGTCCTTTTTTAATGATTTTTTTATCCTCTCCAGGGGTCTCATGCATACATACATGCATAAATTCAATCAATTTATGAGAAGATGAAAGTGCCCAATTTTTGCATAAATGGAATAAAAAATCCTTGCCAATTTCGATCAGAAAAAAGAAAACTGATCATGAAGGACATTCGAATGAGCTAGTGCCTTCGCAGCTAGAGATATCATACTACTAGTTCCTCTCTGAATGATGTCAAGTAGTGGCAGTTGTGCCGATACATCCCATAATTTGTTTTGTTTCAATTAGGCCCATTGAAACATCATGTCTACGGCCTTCAGAGCTTTCTCTTATGACGTTGGCGTCAACGAGCTCAACAATTTTATCATCGGAACTATGTCATTGGCTTCAACTAACACCTTACTAACCCTCTGCAATTGTTCACCTTCAATCAGTGTCGAGAGTGCATCTAAAGACGTTTCACACGCATTGACATCTTGCTCTTCAAGAACTCACACAAGAGGTTTCACATCGTCGGCCTCTATAAGATAGAATGAGGACTCAAGCGTGTGTCTGCCCGTGTGCAGGGCACACGGTCTTAATTTTTTTTTTGTTTTTAGATACCTCTAATTAAAAAACACAAAATATACATATATATATATATATAATTTCAATATATTTTCATATTTTGTTATATTCAAAGGATTTTTTAAATTTTTTGTACAAAATTTTTACTTTTTAAGTATATTAAAAAGATTAAGTGAATTGAATTTTTTTTTTAATTTTAATTAATTAAAATATTCATTAAGTATGTCTAATTTCTTGGTATATCTTATTAAATTATTTGGGATTATAATTTACTTTTAAGGGTTGTTTGAGATGAACTGTATAAGGACACTTTTTGACTTTTTGGCTAAAAGAGTAGAGAAAAAAAAGATGTATGTTTAGGATAATTTTTTGACTTTTTACGAAAAAAATATGTATTAAAATAAAGTGGTGCTGTTAGTACCCCATAAATTATTTTGGACCCTCCATTTCTTTGAACCCCCACTTATAATTTTGAAACCCTTAAAATTTCTTTTCTCTCCCCAAATAATACCAAAATTATCCTTAAACATTCCACCCATTGAATGCAAAATTCACACCTCCAAAAAAACATCACTTCCAAAAAACCCTAACAAAACCCACTAAGAAGAAGAAGAGTCTCATCCTTTTCAGAACCCACGAAGAAGAAGAAGAAAAAAAAGAAGAAGAATACTATCTCTGCTGTAGACACCCCATTTTTGACCGTCCTCAGGACTTGGATGTCATCGTTTGAACACTCGATAATCATCCATGTTCGTGTTCATTTTGAGTTCTCAAAGGTCTCGGCTGCGTGTCTTACCCTAGGATCTCTCAACTTGTCTGTTTTATGCTTGGTTGTGGACCAAGGACTTGTGATTTTGCTTCTGAGGGAAGAGGGTGGCTTGTTGGCCATCCCCATACCCTATCGGCTATGGCATGATGCCATCGGCCTTGCTTCCTTGCCATCGGCCATAAATGTTGGCCGGTCGGCACTTTTGTTGGTCGGTCGGCACTTATTTTGGTCGATCGGCCATATTTTCTGGCCGAGGCTTTTTCTTTGCCTTTTTTAAGCATTGTGCATGCCAGTTGTGCCAGCTGGTGAGCACAGACCCTCCCCTCCATACACGTATATGGAGAGATTTGAACCAAAGCTTAGCTTCTCTAAGAAGCTTTGAATTTGATTTCCTATAAGAGGGAAGCCTCCCCTCCCTTTCCAGAGGTTCAGCAAAATAGATATAGAGTTCATATATCCCTCTCTCTCTATATATCTCTCTCTATATAT